ATTAATCTGGTCCTTTTTACCTCAAATTCTAATCCATATATTATTATTTTTTAGAATTAGAAGATTGTTTTAACAAATTCTAATTTCTATCAGAAGTTTTAGTAAAAATATCACATTATAGATCAGTGTAATACAAATTTAAAAATAAATAATGTGTTTTATTTTGTTATTTTAAATCCCTCGAGAAAAAATACCTAAACTTTAATTTATTCTCTCTAGTGCCATACTGTTATTTTGTGTCTGTTTTTTTTAAATGTTTTGATTTGGCCCTTATAGAATAATAATGAATGTAATGATAATAAAAAAAATTCACATCTCACATACGACAGAACAGGCAGAACCTGTGTTATTTTTAACCAGACTGCTGAAAATCAAACTTATACTTATTTTAAATACATACATATTATAGATAAATTACATCCAGACACAGAACAACTGACCGTGTTCATCACACAATATTTGTCCTGGGTGGGAATCGAACCCACGACCTCATATAAGACACATAAATATGAATATTTGATCACATCTTTGAATATCGTATTAAGCTCAAATGGTTACCTATACGCCTTCGCCGGAATGTTCAATATGTTCATATCCTCTCTATGTTATACAGTATTCTTTTCTTACCACATTCACCGTCCTATCTCAAAGAACGTTTTCAGTTCTTACACAATTCACATCGCAGGCTCCTGAGATCATCAGAGAATCTGAAGTTGAAAATGTCCAAGCAAACCTCATAGTTTAGTGACAAATCGTTCTCGGTGCAAGCAGTTAGACTGTGGGACAACTTACCCGAGGCAATCCGAAAAGCTAAATCGTTGCAATTATTCAAAGAACAAGTTACAAATGACTACTTGACATCGTAAGGGCTGTTGAAGGGATGTTGATTGTTTGTTAATACTTGGTACGTTACAGGTTAAAAACGATTTGTGTACGAGTATTAACCTTTATAACCTTTGTACCTATATATTTATTATTTATATGTATTTATATGTATTAGTAGAATGTATATGGTAAGCGTTTTTAGTATGTTTACTTTTAAATATACTAATTAACTAAAGTGTTATAAAGTACACCATAGACTACCCTTTTTTTTTTCCGTGCGGAAATCCCCTCGGATACCACCTATCCACCTACCATCGGTGGCATGTCGGACTCGAACCGACTAAAACCGCACGCCATGTCGGGTACTAATAGCCGGGGAACCAGGTATACCCTAGAAAGGAAGTCCCTGGTGCCCCGACATACCTCGGGCCATCTACAACAACAGGTAAACGACCCCCCCCGACCATAGACTACCCTAAATCAAATTAAACAATTTCCGTGTAAAGGTTATCGAGCGATAAGATAAGATATCCATCCATGTCTGTACAATAGACACTGTAGCACTGTACAATAAAGATGTATGAATAAATATGAATATTTACCCCTTATTCCCATCCAAGGTAAGGAGAAAGGATAGAATGCTATTCACCACTAACCAGACATGCACGCTCGTCCGGTTACGAGTGCTTTTGAGGAAGAGTATACTAACTAAATCAGCAGTAAGTATACTTTGGTCTTTCGAGCCCTACCCGCAATAATTGGTCCATTTACAGGATCTTTATTCAAAGCATTAACTATTCTTTTCTTCTCATCCTTATAAAATATACATTAAGTCATTCGCTCTTCACTCACCCTTTCATGCATGCAAGCCCAATGAAGGGAACACCACGAATAGTTGCAAATGGGCACTAGCCTAAAATTTGTGCTCAGAATATATTAACAGTGATATAAAGTATCTCGTCTGTACTCAACAGTAAACAATAATAACAATCGGCTACAAATTTGAAATAACAATCAGTCTGCCAGTGTTCAAACAGTTTTCGCAGTAAACGGTTCTAATATGTGGCTTCGATTTCTCACATTTTGCATACTAGTCTCGCTTATTTTAATCGCAGTTTTAAGCACAATATACGGTAGACCAGTGATAAATATATTCTTCAAAAGGTGTTGCGATAATGATATTGAGAACGATCACGGTATCTTCGAGAACTTTAATGAGAACTCATTAATGGAAAGACTTGTGAGTGATGGTATTTACTATGACGATGCTGGCAGTTCAGAGGTTGGTGAAAATGGGACAACTGTTAATAATAATTTGACTATAAGTGATAGTGTGGACTAAGTAGTAAGTGATTTATATTTTGAATTAAGAAAAAAGAAAAAACAAGAGTATTCCAGAATATAACTGTAAACGGTTGAACAAATATTTCCCTGAATCTGAAAAAGCCTTATGTATATAAACGTAGAGTATAAACTTATACTGAATAGAAAATACACGAAACATAGTGGGAATGACTGAAAGGTGTAATCATAATTGACATTTTTGTGCAAATTTAAGGACCGAGATAGCAGGCAGTTTAAATCAAGATGATTTACAAGGAGGAGACTGGACTAGAAAATTATTTGATAAAGATAAAGAATGTTCGTAACTTGATATAAACTAAGTACAAAAATAATATCAAGGCTTTGATTCTTTGAGAGATTATTCTCGAGATGTAAAAAAATTTAGAAATAAAAAAATCTGTGAGTCGAGAAGAGAAAATATTTTAAGTCATCAAATTTATAATTGCAAGAGAAGAAGACTTTTAAATACTAAGTGCGTCGTAGTCTTACCGCTCGGACCTGAACAAAAGATCTAGTCAAGTTGCCAGACTTTGTAGTAAACTGGATGTTATTATTAGTTGTAGAATACCTTCAAATATAATGTTCTTTCGACAGTAGACGTGTATTACACATTTTGCTTTATAAATATATTAATATGACAAGAATACAGTAAAGATCCAATAGTTTTATCCAACTGCGCTAGAAGAGTTTTGATTTTCGAGTGTATGTGTGTGCGTATTTCTTGGCACGCTCTGTAGCCTAAACACTTTGATAGATTTTGGCATTTGATGTGTCGTTAGATTGGCGATTCGCCTTAATTGTGAAAATAAAACTGGGTACATGAAAATTATAAAAATTAAAAGCTCCGGGTTATAAATTTTACTAACACACTTTCACGCAGTCGGGTTTTTGTTTTAGTTTTTTCAATAATTGGATTTGTTTGAGTGATTTTTGTTTGCTTAATATACTTACTTTCCTTGAATGATTTGAAGATATACATTTATTCTTAGATGGATGATTTCTTCCGTGTGGTGACGGATAACGAAATACAGGGTGCCACCACCTATTCTTCCCGTGGGTGTCGTAAGAGCCGAGTAAGGGAAAAAACTACGCTAAACAACAACACTGCAGAGAGAATTAAAACTTGACACAAACCCTATACCAACCCGTCTGGCCAGCGTAGGATAGTAGGCCAAAACCTCCTTTCTAAGGAGAGGCCTATGTCCAGCAGTGGACTATTAAAGGCTGTCGATGTGCGATGACACTAATGTTAATTTATTTGTATGAGTCACAAAATATCGAGGCTGAAGAGGCCTTTTGAAGACGGAAATGTCTGTTTTCCTTGTAGGCCATTTCCGCTTTGGTTGGAATATTAATGATAGTTCAATACATATATTTAAGAAACTCTTATAAAAGATTTTTTCTACTGTAATAGATTCCTTGTTTATTATTTTTTACACTGTCATAATATGTATATATATATATATATATATATATATATATATATATATATATTTTAAATGTAAATATTTGTTTTATTGCATTTTTTACAGTTTTTTTTGCTTTAGTGGCGAGTATTGAGCTCCGTGATGTGCTTTATTTATTGTGATATTGGTTATCATACTAAGTTTACTTTGGCACTGCAAGGAAACAATCGTTGTACAAGATTTTATAAATTTCATTTCTCTTCTCTTTAAAAAAAATGTTTATTTATGATAAAGGGGATGAAAGAGTACGAGTACGAGACGCTGTGCGGTTTTTGGTCGGTTCGAGTCCCACATAGCCACCCCTCTGGTGGGTGGTATCCGAAGGGATTTCAGCATGACAAAAAAGGGGATGAGAGATTAGACAGGTCACCATATCTCTGTATGTTTGCAAAAGTATTCTGATTTAATTAGTTTAGGTTTTGATCATGATCAACTCGATAGTTCGAAATGGTATTAACTGCAAGTCCTAAGAATAGACATTTCAATTGTTTGCAATACAGCGGTGATAATAAAGGTTATTGAAATAATTTGATTTTAAAATATATTTCTGTGGATATTATTTTCAAATTACACTACATAGCTGTATTATTTCATTCATAAATTATAAATTACTCATCACAACACTCAAATCGATTCGGTAATTGCCAATTTTTTCTCTTTCACCGACTGTTAATTTGCGCGTTTACAATTGCATTTAATTTTTTTTTGTCATATTGCTAACTGCAGACATGATTACATTTATTTTACTGTTGAGTTAATTGTAGTTAGAATTTTTTAATTTCCTGTAGAAAATAATAGTCATATAAAGTCATAAAAGTCATATTTATCTTTACAACTAACTTAATTTCATTAGCGGCCACTGCAGGCCGAATTTATATGGGAGGTTTGTCAAGTTCCATAAGTTGGTTGTGCGGTGTGTCTCTTTGATATTTTAGGCACAGCAGAAAATCATGGGTGAGGTCTTTCATCACCATCATCATCATCAGCCTATCGCAGTCCACTGCTGGACTTAGGTCCAGCCATTGCACGCCACTTAGATCGATTTTGGGCTTCTCGCATCCAGCTCCTGAAAGCCATCTTGCGCAAATCGTTTGCTGAGACGCGGTCTCCACTCAAGAACTCGTTTTCCCCAACGGTTGTGGGTCCTGCGGCTAATATGGCCAGCTCAATGCCTCTGCAGCTTGCCGATCCGGTGAGGTCTTTCCGAGGTTGTATTCGTTTGTAAAAGATTTTTGTGAATCAAACGTAACTTGTAGTATTGAAATATCTTTTTTAAAAAAAACAAACAAATACTTGTGAAAATCCTTTTGTGTTTATACAATATTATTTTTATACGAGTAAATTATCAGAATTAGAAAATGTTGATTACGAGTTTTTAATTTTTATTTGCTCTCCGTCCACTGCATTTTTCTTACTAGGTTCAACCTGTTTGCTCGTAAACCTTAAAGAAAAACAAAAATTATCAATTGCGGTGAGGGATTAAGAATACGGAATGTCACCACCCTTATTCATCCCGTGGGTGTCGTAAGAGCCGACTAAGGGAGCAAACTACGCACGACAACAGCACTGCGAAGAGAAGGAAAACTTGAAACAAACCCTATATCAACCAACCTATATCAATAGTAGACCAAAACTTTCTTTCTAAGGAGAGGCCTATGTCCAGCAGTGGACTGTTATAGGTTGTTGATGATGATTGATGATCAACTTCTATGCATTAAATTTCAAGTATGTTTAAGTTTCATATTAGGATTAAAGGCATGTATGTATGTATATATAGTTATATGTATGTAGAATTAGTATGTAGGCATCCTTGTATATATACGTAGATATTACTATATTTATTACTTACACTAAACCGATTTTGAAAATTCTTTCACCAATGGAAAGCTACATTATCAGCGAATAATGTGAGATTAATAAGAGATGTGTCAAGGTATTATTGTCTTTGTTGTAACGTAAAAGTGCCAATCTAAATACCAATACACACCTATTACATACGAAGCGATCAGACAAGTTGTTCAAAGGTGCTTCCAGTATAAGCCAAAGTACGTAACTCATTCCTACACATACGGCCCCAACACCGGCAGTATCAATGATCTGAAATCCAAATAAAAAACTGCGATAAAAGGTGTTATAAGCAGAATTGACTTAATCCTTGTAAGTCCGTTCATTCTCTATATACTCCGATATTTACAAAAAAAAAAAAGACGAATTCTTTAAGTAGCCGTTGCCAATGCTAATAGACTGGCGGCGTAGTGGTTTAAGCGGTCGCTACGCAGCTTCCTACTACGCTGAGTGTTGTGGGTCCGATCCCCACATGAGACGACACTTTGTGTGATCCACAAATTGTTGTTCTGAGTTTGGGTGTTCTTTGTGTCTGTTTCACGTATGTTTGTAAAGTCCCCCGCGACACAGGATACATTCCTAATGCGGGAGTAGTCTTTAAAAAAAAGAAAAAGATAGAATATTTGCAACTCTGTATAATATATATACGTATGTGAGTATAATTCGTCAGCATTAACAGTCAGTCAGGCAGTCAACGCATTTATAAATACTGAGCTGCTGAACACGCGGTCACCGTGACAAGGGCCTAGTGTGACTTGTCACACTAGGTCCTTGTCACGGTGACCGCGTTCGGCGTTGCGTTTGGCACGCGCTGAAACCTTCACCAATCGCATCGCCGAATGCGCTCGCCACAGAGAGCGAGTTGATTTGAAATGAATTCACACTAGGCCCTCTGGTGTCCAAGGATGACGGTAGTCACTAACCGTCAGGTGACCCGTCTCTCGCTCGTTTGCCCACCTACACCATAAAACATAAACCCATATTTAACTGTCAAGAAACCGAAAAAAGTTTTAATATGACTGGTCCATAGCCCATCGCAATCTAGTCAAGCCAAGCAGAACTGCTTAGTTTACGCAATGTTTCAACTTCCCGCCGCTATTATAAATAGGATGATAACATTCCCTTTATAAACAATTTATTGTAAAGATTTTTTATTTTTGTAAAACTGTAACTGCACGGATGGCGTGGTTCTAACCCGACATGGGACGACACTTTGTGTGATCCAAAAATTGTTGTTCTAAGCCTGGGTGTTCTTTGTGTCCGTTTCATGTATGTTTGTAAAGTCCCTCGCGACACAGGATATATTCCTAATGAAAGAGTGTTTTTTTTTAATAAATAAAATAAATAATGAAATAGTGTTATACTCACAACAGCAAAGGAGTCATATATTGGAGCAGATTTAATGGTCACTATTTTGTTTGTTTGCTGCAAGACCAAGCAATGTAGAAGATATACTCCATACGATAAACGGCTGAGAGGAGTGAAGAATGAACTACTGAAAAAATCTGTCAGTAATGCTGAAATAAATGTAACGCATATAAGTAGGTAGATTTAATTTATAGTTTGGTTTGATTTGAATAGATTGTCAGTTGATGCCACAGTCACAGCATAAGAGTGAGACAACCCGAACTTCTCAGGGTTACTGCAGTCTAATTCGCGTTTTTTATCAAAGTCTTTCACGATTATTTACCCCAGTTTCGTGGCCCTATAGTCTTCCATACCTAAATTTGCCTTCCTATCTAAAAACGATAGCATACCCAAACAGGGTTCGCGACCAACCCTAAAGACAAGTAGCCAAAACTCTCTGTAATATTTAACATTGCGCGACCCAAAAATCATAAGTCCAAAAAAAATCAAATGGATAAAGGAAATTGCGTAAACATTGATTTTTTTGTAAATGTATTAATAGCAGTCTATGTACTTACGTAGTTTCCCATATTCACAGAAGGCAATAATACCACACACTCCAACAGCCCATATAGACCTGTAGGTAGCTGCGGCAAGACTTGCTTCTAAGACGTTGTAGTCCCGTTCTAGGAAGAAACTACCAAGACACGCCGAAAACGTCATTAACAGAAGAGAAAAGATTGCGCCGGTTACAGAATTTAGCTGCAAAAATAAACAAATTAAATGATATTAAAATACTCTAATATAGTACAGATACCTATACTAAAGTATCTATACCTAAACTAAGTAGAGCCAGTACATCATGATCATCATCAACAGCCTTTCATAGTCCACTGCTGGACATAGGCCTGTCTTTAGAAAGGAGGTTTTGGCCTACTATACCACGCTGGCCAGACGGGTTGCTATAGGCTTTGTCAAGTCAAATTTTTCTGCTCTCTGCAGTGCTGTAGTTCTGCGTAGAGCCAGTACAACATGCTTTAATTCATGTATAAACGTACTTTGATACATTTTTATATAGTGATACGTCATTACGAATGAGACGAATGCTTTTTCACCGCACTACACGAAGCATCATTCATTGTCAACTGAACCAGTTTCTATGAATTTCAAACTGGTTTTATCACATTTATCTACATTTATCTGTTCAAGCTTTGGGTTCTATATCCGAAATTTATGAGCGTCTCGCATAGTGGTGTTTTCTGTAATGGTAATATAGTACTAGCAATCTTTTGTAAAAATTGAGCTTTGGATTTCTTCAAATGTTAAACGTTTAGAACGGTTAAATGAATATAAAAAAATTATATTATCCCTGTGGTGACGGATTAATAATACAGAGAGTCACCACCCGTATTCATCCTATGGGTGTCGTAAGAGGCGACCAAGGGAGCAAACTACGCAGGACAACAGCACTACAAAACAGAAGGAAAACTTGAAACAAACCCTATACCGACCCGTCTGGCCAGCGTGGTATAGTAGGCCCAAACCTCTTTTCTAAGAAGAGGCCTATATCCAACAGTGGAGTTTTATAGGCTGTTGATGTTGATGATATTATCAGTATAGCTCGCAATTGATAGGTATTTAACAAATTAGATGACTGAGGTTAAGTCCAAGTCCAAACCCACCTTACCCTGATTCTATGGTGGTGGTGAGGTAAGGGGAGGTGAGGAGAGACTCACAGGTCACAACCCACTTGTGATTCTTGAGTACTTGACCTTGAAGTCTCTCGTATACCCCCCTATCAAGTAGCCATTTACACGTAATTACAAAATTTGACAAACATTTTCTTTCAAAACTGTAGGTCTCAGTACTTGTTTTCTGATGAAATACTACTTAAATATTAAATCACGCTCATACATTTGCGAAATATTCTTGCCAATTCAACAATAATAAAGCAGAGTCAGACTAACCACTGATAAACAGTGTCTATGAATTGCAGGATTGTAGACATGCATAATATATCCCAAACACATGCCGACTATGTACGGTCCAGCACGACTGTAGCTGGAAAAGTATGTATAGTTCAAACGGTCGTCCCCTCGCATTGTCAGGAAATCCCTGAAAGCAAAAAAATAATTGGATTATTTATAAAATATTTTTTAATGTCTAATGGCGAAGAAAGTGTTAGGTATGGGAGTTGAAGTTTACAAAAGAAGAGGAATACCAAATATAAGGTGGATGGACTATATGAGTGAGGATATGGGTAGGAAGGGAGACAGTGAGATTACGAATGATAGAGTAGAATGGAAGAATCATTCTTACTGCGCCGACCTTAAATAAAGTTTGGATAATGGTAGGCAAATTATGTTTGGTGTCTAAATTAACGAAAAGTTCATAAATTCTATCATTTTTACCCTAAATTCGGCTGTGGACTATATTTATTAATGGGTTGGACATCTGTAACTCAAGAGACAAAAGTTGTCGACTCAAGTCACTGAACATCAGCTGACCCGTGGACTATTTTTTCCTTTTACCATGAAAAACCTGCTAACAATTACAGTTAGAATTTTGACATCATGATTGCTCATTATTTTAATGAGGACTGTTAATTTAGAACTACCTGTAAAGCATAACAGAGAAAAATAAAGACCTTATGACGGGCCTTTTGGTCTAATGGTTAGTGAATTTGACTGCGAACCCGTGGGTTCGATTCCCATACGGAAAAATAGTTGTGATGAACACGATGATTTTTTCTATATCTGGGTGTGATTTATCTTTTATATGTACGATGTACATATTTAGAAATATATAAGTATGTTAAGCAGAAGTCTGGTTACCATAGTACAGGTTAAGCCTAGTTTGAGATCAAACTGCCGTGTGTGAGACGTGTAAGCTTATTATTGTTACATTAATTATTATTTTAGCTAAGGGAGAAACCTACGCAGAACAACAGCACTGCAGAGAGAAGGAAAACTTGACACAAACCCTAGACCAACCCGTCTGGCCAGCGTATTATAGTAGGCCAAAACCTCCTTTCTAAGGAGAGGCTTATGTCCAGTAGTGGACTAGCAAAGGCTGTTGATAAATATTATTCTATGAGGGTCAAATCCAAAAATTTTAAAAAGAAAACAGACATAAAATAACACGAATTTGTAGCCAGCCTAACTAAACAGTAGAAAAAAAAATACCTTGAAAAACACCCTACGCTTTTTTACGATAAAATGATTTTTCTTTTTGAACTTATAGAAAATTATTTGCTACTTGTTAGTTCGGCTACCTACAAAAGCGTGTTTTTTTGGGTTTTTTAAACTATAATAAAAAAAAAATAGTCATTAACAATGATTATTATCTTATTAAGACTAAAAGAGTAACAAGTAAGCATACGCCTTAGCACATGGCAAAAGACACAACTGTATTTTTAGGTATGGGAAAAGCCGTTAATCCTGAAGATCCTGATCAGGACAACGGAACAAACTATTTAAATTATTACATTGTCATCGGTCCTTGATAAGTGTGCAATGTTTCAATTTAATTCGACGTTTGGAAGTGGGTCAAAATCACCAAGCCATTAAAAGCGTGTAAAAAAGCAGAAGAAATTGAAAGATGAATAAGGATATACTCGTATGTTACGTTAATAACATTTAAGCAACATTTGATGAAAGATTTGAATAAATTGTTTTTTAATAATTAATTTAACTACTATTTTGGTATATTTCGAGGCAATAAAATATTACTTACCCAACATCCAAGTAATACATAGGTGGCAATTTATGCCAGTACGTTAGAACTCCTGGTATAACCACAGATATTAATGCTGCTAATCCAAAGATGTTGAGAGCTAGTCTTCTGTTCTTCTTGTATATATAGATAAGTAGAGTTGCTAAGACTGTGTACTGATAGTCGCAGGCAATGTACCACGTAACGGAGTAACACTGTGCACAGAGAAATAGCAACATTAAAATCTGTTTAAAAAAAACGAAAAGAACGAAAAAGTTGTAGTTTCGCAAATATCAAGTGCTATTACTAACACCGGTTTTCTGTGAGGCAGTGGCATTACTCCGGTCGGTTGGCTGGCATTATTCCGATAATCATAGTTTTTGTTAAGAAAACCGCTGTTAAGTAATTCTTGCCATTCACTGAATCAGTGAAGTTAATAGAGACCCAACCCCCATTCCTAATTCTGAGGAGAAAGAATTCAAATGGCGGCAACACATTTATGTCTCTTGAGTTGCAAGTATCCATGGGCGATGGTATCCACTTACCCCCCCCATCTTCCCCCCCCATCCCATCCCCATCTTCTTGTTTGCCCCCTTTTCCATAAAAAAGATTAATAATTTTATACTTGGGAGATATAAGAACGATTTAAGAAATGTGTATGATACTGGTATGTGTATGTATGTGATATTGTTACTTACATATGTTCCGCTATTATAGTTAAGCATCAACAAACTGAACCACCAATTCCTTTGACAGATACTGCTTTCCGAGTTATAAAATATGTTCCATAAGGGACCTGAGCCGTGAAATTTTACTACTGAAGCGTAGTAAAACATTGACAGGGCGAATAAGCCAATCAATCTGAAAAAAACAAAAGACCTCATAATAACCAAGTATTTCTGGATATAATTAAAAGGCAATTTGTAATTTTATCTGTTTTAGCTTTAAAATAGATGATGTGTTTTGTGATATTGTAATTTGCAAAGTTTGTAGTTAAGGGTGTGATACTGACAGCATTATCGATATTGGGTTTTGTCAATTTTATTCTCTATCATTTCTGTATTGAATTCTCATTAAGCAACAAAACCAAGCTAAATATATCAGAAAACTTTTGTAAAAAGTTAGTAGTAACTAATAAAAATCTAGCAATTTAAAAAAAAAATGAAACCTCACCTCACATATCGCTTCCATAAGATGAGAAGGACGTTAATTTGCTTTCTTCCCAAAAGACCTTTGATTTGCAGCATTCCAGACATCGCGAAGAATGTATCCACTAAGAGGTTCATATTCACAAACTTATCGAATAAAAATATTCTCTGTAATCAGATACATACTATTGGTGAGCATCTTAAGATTCTGTTAAATTTTGACCGTCGTATCCAACGAATATGGATACTGGTACAAGTACATCATGCGTACAGTAGGACATTAAAATGTAATTACTTTACATTATATTCCGTTCTTCTATTTTGTGCCAAATGATAATAATCACATTATTTGTGAGATATTTACACAATACTATTTAGCTTAAACTAGAAAGAGCTGGTACTATAAATTCAAGAACACGTGTAAACATGTTATCAGTTAGTCATTCATATAAGTGTTAATAAAAAACATACTTCGTCAAAGTCGCCGCTATTCGCACATCCTGAGATGAAATAGAGATATAGAACATGCAGCCACACCATACAAGCTGATGTTAAGGACCTAATACCATTGACGGCTATAATTTCATCCTTGTGCGTCTTTGTTAGTTCCGTTGTGTTCCTGTTCATACAAAATGATTCTAATATCTTGCCCACTGAAAACCGATGCAATATGCTTATTATAGTCACTAAATATTTGTGTTCATTATCTACTCATCATTATCTATTTCCAAATACTTGAATTATTAATAATCCAAAGACATAATTTTTTGACCCATTAAATACATATGTTAATATTCGAGTGTCGTGCTAAAAAACACAAACACACACAGTACATCAACAGTTTTATTAAATATACAGCTAGATCAATATGAAGGATTTCAAGTTAGCGTGTAATGTTTTTTGGACATTTAAGTTGTAAAATAATCATGTCTCTTACCAGTTGAATCGTTAGGTATTGTTTGGCTTTTCATGCGTGTCCGATAATATGTACAGCCTACTGCTACTATTGACAGCGAAACTATTAAACACCTGAAACATTGTAATATGGTATAGGTTAGGATTTTGTAGATATTAAGATAGGCACAGTTAGAATCGCAAGTGATAGAATGTTAAATGCTGGTAAATATAATACCGGACCTAAAATACTACCTAGGGATACTCCAGGTTGTAATTTGTGAAATGTGGAGTTGGTGGATATTTCGTTTATACTACTTTCGAAATGAGTGTTCTAGATTATTTAAAACCTCAAATCATGATAGTTTTGTATGTATTTAAATCGTAAATGTTTTGGTAATTTAACAAATAAAAAGGAGATGACAATCCGTATCAAATTTCATACTATATTCCAGAAATAGCTAAAATTATGTGATATTTTATATTTAAAAATGAATAATATTTGCATAAGTTAATACAACTCATTTTATTGAACTTGAAAGAGCGATCGAGCAAAATCGGGGGTCAAAAGTGTTCGTACAATCTCTTGGAAGAAGCCACCTGACAAAGTTGACTACAGAAAGTGGAGAAGTCGTTGCTTCGAAGCCGGCAGTCCTTTTGGAAGTGGAAAGCTTCTATGGCCGGTTATACGCTTCGCATGCATCTCGACCTGATCCCGAAAATGAGGACTCTAGAGCCACATTAACACGTCACTACACCGAAGACCTGCCAGAAGTTAGCATTGACGAAATCGAGATGGCTCTTGGACAGCTGAAAAATGGAAAAGCCCCTGGAGAGGATGGCGTTACAACAGAGCTGCTGAAGGCCGGGGGTAAACCCGTACTAAGGGAGCTCCAAAAGCTCTTCAACGCTGTCCTGTTTGAAGGGAGAACTCCAGAAGCGTGGAGTAGGAGTGTGGTCGTCTTGTTCTTCAAAAAGGGTGACAAGACCAGGTTGAAGAACTATCGACCCATATCCCTTCTAAGCCACGTCTACAAGCTGTTTTCGAGAGTCATCACGAACCGTCTTGCGCAAAGACTCGACGAATTCCAACCACCGGAGCAAGCTGGGTTTCGGAGCGGATATGGCACCATAGACCACATCCACACAGTGCGACAGAAGACCGAAGAATATAATCAGCCCCTGTGTCTAGCATTCGTGGACTATGAGAAAGCCTTTGACTCGATCGAGATCTGGTCTGTTCTGGAGTCCCTGCAGCGTTGCCAAGTAGATTGGCGATACATCCAAGTGATGAGATGTCTCTACGAAGCCGCCACCATGTCCGTCCAAGTACAGAATCAGCAAACAAGGCCCGTACCATTGCATCGAGGAGTGAGACAAGGGGACGTTATTTCCCCGAAATTGTTCACAAATGCAATGGAGGACATGTTCAAGACGCTGCACTGGAAAGGGCGTGGCATCAATATCAATGGCGAATACATCTCTCACTTGCGATTTGCAGATGACATCGTCATCATGGCAGAGACGTTGCAGGACCTACAGCAAATGCTGAATGACTTAGCTGACACTTCTGTACGCATCGGCCTACGGATGAACTTGGATAAAACCAAGGTCATGTTCAACGAACATGTACTACCGGAACCGATTGCGGTACACGGTGCCGTTCTCGAAGTTGTTCAAAATTATGTGTACCTCGGGCAGACATTGCAGTTAGGTAGAAACAACTTCGAGGACGAGGTGAACAGAAGAATTCGGTTGGGTTGGGCAGCGTTTGGGAAGCTACGTCGAGTCTTCTCATCGTCGATCCCACAGTGCCTTAAGACGAAAGTCTTTAATGAGTGCGTCCTACCCGTCATGACATACGGAGCTGAAACGTGGACACTTACGGTACGGCTGGTCCACAAGTTCCATGTTCCAGTGTTCACATGTTCAGTTCCATCAGAAATGAGGTGATCCGGCAGAGAACTAAGGTCACCGACATAGCGTACCGGATCAGCAAGCTGAAGTGGCAGTGGGCTGGCCATATTAGCCGCAGAACCGATAACCGTTGGGGAAAACGAGTTCTTGAGTGGAGACCGCGTCTCGGCAAACGTAGTGTAGGACGGCCACAGGCCAGGTGGAGTGACGATTTGCGCAAGATGGCTGGCAGGAGCTGGATGCGAGAAGCCCAAAATCGATCTAAGTGGCGTGCAATGGGAGAGGCCTATGTCCAGCAGTGGACTGCGATAGGCTGATGATGATATTGAACTTGTCTTGCATGTATATAAATATATAATTAACAATTTATATGAAAAGGACATTTAAGATTATATTGTGTTATAAGCTGTTATCATAAACATGTAGAACTATAACCTTGTCTTTTATCTATAATGTAACTTCTACTTTGTTTCTTTGGTGACCACAATGTAACATAATGTGGAATTTATATTATTATGTTTTTTTAACTTAAGTATAAAAGAAAACTGTTAAAATCACGATTAAAACTATATTTATACAGGGTTAAATCGACTTAGATACTTTAGAGGGTTGTTGTCCCACACACGAGGGAATCATCTACAGGGTAGGCCCCGTCGGGGTTCCAGGGATTTCCTTCCTAAGGTACACCTGGTTCCCCGGCTACTGGTACCCGAGACGGCGTTCATGTCCGACATAAATATAAATAACCCCAGAGGATTTTAACTCAGCCAAAAAAAAAAAAGAAAAAAAAGGGGGGGTTGTCAGCCAACATTTCTGATAGATTTCACTATGAAATACCATATCCCAAACTTAACCATTTTCAAGATATTAAACTTGATACTAATTTTTTTAATTAATTTTAAATTCTCAAGGAAATGAGCAATTTACTAGGTCCATTGATTCTTAGAATATCGATATTTAATAAATGTCAATTTTCCTATTGGTAAGTCAACTGCTATATAGTTCAGAAACTGGTTGAAATTTAATCAAATGAAAACATTTACTTCCATTTGATTTTCTAAAAATTCATTATCTTAAATTTTAAGGGGTCCTGTTCACTGTTAAACAACAAAGGCCACTTTCGCAATAACTCTCGATCCTCCACGTTCCGCATCCAATTTATTATTTGTTGGAGAAATATTTAAAAAATTATACCACAAAAAAAATAGTAAGAAGATTAGTCTATTGCATGCAGGGCTGTTGCTTATGGGGCCATAAGACAAAACAAAAATGAAATGTAGCAAACTTACATGAAAACATAATATCCTACTCCGAAGTCTTCGCTTTCACCAGCAACGTCGCAATCATAGATAGTTATGTTTGGATTCGATATTGCTCTGAAGTGGGTCCCTAAGTACATGTGTTTCAAGATCTTGGCTACCGAACTTGGTTCACAAGACGCAAGAACACATACGCCCCAGGTAAACTGATTCACACGATAGCCATGCCTAGTTTTTGTCTGAAAACATAAATATATGCGCTAAAGCATCTGTGTAACAAGCAAATTGGACTGTTTATAAGATTGACGAGGTCTTTCAACAATATACAAAATAAGTATAGAGATCCGAACGCATCCATTCCAAAAGCTGAAATCTTTAACATAGTAGTCGCCATCTTTAAAAATCTGGTTTTTATAGGAATAATTGTATTTTAATATGCCTACGCCTAGTTATCAAGACAACTCCCGCACTAGGAATACATCCTGTGTCGCGGGGGACCCCATAAACAAACATGAAACGGACACAACGAACACCCAGAAATTTTGGGATTAAACTATCTAGACGAAAATTTTACGCTACACTGTGGGTTCTAGATTATAGACAGACCTAATTACCCATATTTAGGGATCCTGCAAAATTAGGGTGGAGAGGGTACTGATCCTTCAGTAACCTCAATCACTCGGTGAAAAACAACTAAAGAATTGGTAACTCCGGTCGAGCTAACCCATTTGGCCCCGTACTCAAGCGTGGTCAGGATGTTTTTGTTGTGTTTATTTTAAGTCCATTAACTATGATTGGCTTGAGCAGAATAACAGTGGATGGCATGCTTTGCACTGTCATGCACATGTCACATGTAAAAATGTCAACTTCAACTTCAACTTTTGGTTAATGGCTTTGTGGAAAATATGCCCCGGGTGAGGATCGAACTCACGACCTTAAGATTATGAGACTTACGCGCTGCCTACTGCGCCCACGAGGCTCTCAAAAAAAAAAAAATTAAAAAAAAAAAAAAAAAATGTCATGTAATGTGCATGTAAAAGACAAATCAAGTTTTTCTTATTCTTATTTGTGCCGAGAACATTGCTGTCAGTTCTAGAGGTTCTATTGCAGTTACGAAGAAACCATTACGCTAATTTATAATTTGCTTACTGATTTTTAAATTGTCTTCTAGGAATTGCTGGTAAGCATGTTTTTTTTTTAAACAACGCCCGCATTAGGGATATATCCTGTGTCGCGCGACGACTTTACAAACATACATGAAATGGACACAAAGAACACCCAGACTCAGAACAACAATTTGTGGATCACACAAAGTGTCGTCCCATGTGGGGTTTGAACCCACAACGCTCGGCGTAGTAGGAAGAGGCTTGGCGACCGCTTAAACCACTAGGCCATCCGTGCAGTCCTATTAGTAAATTACTTACTTTCATGTACACTTCAGTTGAGGCATAAGGGTCAAAGACACCCCTCTTCAATTCCCTTCGCGTCATTTCGACTTCCGCAGTACAATACTGGGTTTTGAACTGAGGATGCGTATCCAACCAAGGTGGGTTCAAGCACTGGTCGTAATTGCTCAGCTGGATCCACGAACCGTAAAGATTGCCTGAAGGTAATTTGTTTGCGTCCCATACTGAAATGAGTTTTGTTATTAAAATTAATGTCCAAAAATATGTAATTTTCATTTTTATAGATATTAGTATATTTAGATGTTATTTTTAATATGTTTGCAATGTCCACAACTTTTTTGAAAATGTTTCTATTTCTAATTTATTCTTTCGGTATACAAAAACACGTATTTATTATATGGACTACTGGAAGTGAGCGAAGATTATCCAGTGATTTTAACAGTCTTCTCAAGACAGATAAAGACTCAATGCCTTTTTTTTAATGGAACAGGGGGCGAACGAGCAAACAGGTAAAATGATGGTAGGTGACTCCCGCATTCAAGCGGCGGTAGCCTAGTGGTTAAGGCATATGACTTGCTATCAAGAGGTCGTGGGTTCGAATCCTGACCAGTCCACTATCGACGTGAACCCACTCCTAAGACAAACTAGGAGGAATACTAGTACTTTCGGTTGCTAGTAAACCTTAAAAAAAAAAACCAGCTCGAGAGTCACAAGTGCGTTCCTGAGCTTTGAGTAGCCCACCTTGCCCAGAATTAGGAGGAGGCCTGTCCCTAGAATTTAAGTTTTGGCCTGCTATACCACGCTGGCCAGAAGGGTTAGTATAAGGTTTGTGTCAAGTTTCCTCCTCTTTGCAGTACTGTTGTCCTGCGCATCGTTTGCTCCCTTAGTGGGCTCTTACGACAACCACGGTATGAATGGGTGTGGTGACACTTTGTATTCTTAATCCCTCACCATACGGCATCTCCGTATTGGGCTCCGGTTACCTTAATAAAAGAATTGCTTAAGCATGACTGTCCTACACATCAAACTCTTGAACAGGGTCATTCATTTTTCTACCAGTACTCAAAAGTAGATTTAGATTGAAATGGCAATCTTAAGAACTTAAATCAATAATCTAATTTAAAAAATAGCTTATTATTAAAATTAGTTTACTTATTCATACCAAATATCATTTTTTGAAATAAAAATTGAACAACAATTCTCATATTAATTTTTAGTAAATCGAGTCTTCAACCTATTTTATTTTTTCTGGCGTTTTGAGGTGAACAGGTTTATTGAACGCGATGTGATTAGGTCACGACAAAGTGACTCGACGTCGAACTTCTTACTGAGGGCATGGTGTGACATACGCGGAAAAACGCATTACACGCGGCAAGACAAAACAAAAATGGGAATATTATACATTTAATATATAAGTTAGCTATCTTTTAGGAATATAATAATATATTGTGTCTCGGGGGACAAACATTCATGAAACGGATACAAGGAACTCTCAAGACTCAGAACAAGAATTTATGGATTTACACAAAGCAAAAACTCACAACACGCAGCGTAGTAGAAAGTGACGAGATAACCGCTACGCTACGCTATCAGTGCAGTGAACTCTTTAATATATATACATATAGATAAATATTTATATGCATATTATCTCTGGAACCATTAGAGCTAAAGACTTGAAATTTGGTAGGAATATTCTTTTCACCGAGTAGAGGTCAGCTAAGAACGGATTTTAAGAAATTAAAAATAAATAAATAATTAAATAATGTAAATAGCAAAGCAACGTTTGCAGGGTCAGCTAGTTATATATATAATATAAAGTAGCAGTTACACTCTTTTAATATTAGGTACTAACTCCAAGTGGCCCACAATGTGAAGTTTTTAACATTCTGCAAAAGCTCCAAGGTTTTTTGTAGACACATCGCTTCTTCATCACTCCATACTTCTTCATTCAGTCCTTGAATAATATTGTCTATGGCGGGAAAGTTTCCATTTTCATGAGATTTTACATTGCTTGTTGAAAGTGTCACTGTAAAAGCAAATGTAATATATAGTACAAATACGTTGGCCGTCTGATTTCAAACTAGGTAGAGCCTGTACTATGGCAAACAGACTACTGATAAACATACTTATATATTTCTAAATATTTACATACGAGTATTATAGGTAAATTACACCTAAACAAGAACTAAACTATTAAATTGTTTTAAAATTTCTATTACCAATATTGTAGTTTACTTAACAAACTGGCCAAAAAAAAAGTCGCGAAGAAGTACGCGAGTGGCGTGAGGCCGCTCGTGAGCTCTGATAGTTCTTTGGTCGCCCCGGCTGGAGGCTCCATATGCTGGTATTGCCGTGTTGGAGGCGTTCCAGTCGGTCATCGTCGAGTGGGCAGGGCGGCAGCACGGGTCCCTTTATTTCAAACTAACGCAGGTCCGTTTTGGGCGCGGCTGCATCGGGAAGTACTTGCACCCGGTCGCTAGGACGGAATTGAGTCTCGCCTGTCATCACTATGATTGCAGTGAGGACTAGGCTCAGCACACGCTGGCAATTTGGCGTCGTAGCGTCGGGTCCTCACTGCAGTCATCGGAGGAGATCTCTCGCTACCGGCCGTCATACGCTCCATTGCCGGTAGTGATTGTTGTTTTACCGCGGTCGCATCCTTCTGCGAAGACGTAATTTCACAAAAGTCACGGGTAGACGAGACGGGTTTTTCTCATCCACTAGCTATAACGGCCAGCCGTGAGGAGGTGACGTCCGTCGCATGAATAGAGAATATACCCGAAGGTGGTGCTTGCACTGTTGCGGGCAGGCGCTAGGAGGGGTCCGGATGTCTTAATAACAGCAGTTCCCGGAGCCCTCCTGTTACAGGCGCAGAGTGGCACACCGTGTGGTTTTAGTCGGTCCGATTCCGACACACCACCCCGCCGCAAACTCCGGTGGGGTGACGGCACGAGTGGGTTTCCACACGTAAAAAAAAGTATCATAATTCATAGATAAAAACTGAGATGAAAAACCGGGAGTATTAAGAATTAGCTTACAACCCGGTAGTAACTTGGCTTGTATGTTTGGACTCTTGCGTTTTCTATTCGTGACTAACTATTGCTAACAGAATAATAATGGTTACTACAACCCTCTTAAGTATCTATGTCGACTTATCCAGTAACCCTGTAAATATAAATCATACAATTATTTTATTCCTGCATGCACAAACAAACAAACAAGTTTATTGAACCATCAAAGTTACATTTTGATAAGTGCTCTGTCTCCTAAACTAGGTTAATTAACCTGTATCTTAGAAGTACAACAAAGTACAACAACAAATAGACTAATCTTGACAAACCACTAAATCATATAAAACAAAGATTCTAATAAAACTATGTTGTTTAATAAATAAAATATAAATTCATTACGCACAAAGTAATAGATTTTAAAATTTAAACACATCAAAAACACATACAAGAGTGTAAATCAAAGATGTAAAGGTTAAATTTAAAACAAACTTACCAATACATGTAAAACACAAAAACAGAAACTTAAACATGCTTGATAAAACACTGCGAACGGTTCCCAATCAGAACATCTACTAACTAGAAATGTATTAGGTAAGTATATGGACATAATATTATGTTAATGAAAACGACACACTGTTCTTACAATGTTATATGTTGAAGATTAAGATTAATATATAAATTACTAGCTGACCCGGCAAACGTTGTTTTGCCATATACATTATTTCAATTTTTTTTATCAAAAAAAAAAAATTAGGGGTATGAAAAATAGATGTTGGCCGATTCTCAGACCTACCCGATTTGCACACAAAATTTCACGAAAATCGGTAGAGACGTTTCGGAGGAGTTCAACCTCGCACACCGAGTCACGAGAATTTTATATATTAGATAATCCTGACTAGTCCTGGTTTTAAACGATACTTTACTTTAATTTAATACGATAATTAAACGATTTAATCTATACTAATACTAACTTCTGCCCGCGGCTCCGCCCGTGTAAATATCGGTTATCGCGGTAAAAAGTATTCCTAAAAAATCAAAGTATCTCTATACCAAATTTCATCTAAATCAGTTCAGCGATTGTTGATTACCCGTACAAACTTTCAACCCCTTTTGCACCTTAAAGGATGTTTTCTGGGATAAAAACTAACATATTTCCTTTCCCGGGACTCGGACGATCTCTGTACCAAATTTCATCTAAATCTAAATGAAGAGGTTACAGAGAGACATATACAATTTCGCATTTATATTAGTAGTATGTCCGTGTGGTGACGGATTAAGAATACGGAGTGTCAACACCCCTGTTTATCCCGTGGGTGTTGTAAGAGAGGACTAAGGGAGCAAACTGCGCAGGACAACAGCACTGCAAAGTGAAGGAAAACTTGAAACAAACCCTACACCAAAACGCCTGGCCAGCGTGGTACCTATAGTAGGCCAAAACAGTAGGTATGTGCAGCAGTGGACTGTTGAAGGCTGTTGATGATGATGATGATGATTATTAGTATGGATATTAGGCAAATGGGACGAGGATGATGTCTTACATAGGATCTTTGGCATTTAAAAGAACTTTAAGACAAAACTAAAAAGACCTGTTTCTAATTACTGATGAGAAACACATTGTTAACAAGATATCTAAATACCTATATGCTAGTGTTAAGTAACCTTTAGGTGTAAATTATATGCATAACAGATAACTTACTTATCTCATGTCAATGAGGAGACATTAAGAACATTATATCACGTTGTAAAATGCTGATAGACCTCTACATAGTATAACGTTGTTCAGGAATATAGAGCTATTTCTTAGCGTTCCATGATTTCACCGTGCTGGTGCCGGGTCCATCGCATGATAGACGAGGGCAACACATGCGACTTGTACAGCGTCTGGGTATTGGGACCCAGGAGTAGGTTTAGGGAGTACTCTTTGCGACGCATCAGCGCTCACCTCCACTGTCGAGACGGTAACACTGCAGTGTTACCCCCTCTACCTAACCTAGCCATATTTGATACGAGCTTAGCAATGCCGCTCTGGATATTCGTTTAAGAAAAGAGCTTACTAAAGCTCTTGGCAATCCAAGGTCTTTAAGCAGGTTATAGAGGGATTCAGTTGATATACGCCTCGCTAACACTTCTACGGCATACAACGCAACGATATTAATATTTTTTGTTACGCTTTTACGCCTAAAATCGTCGTTGGCCTCCAGTTGTTAGCGGATCTCCGCGCGGCCTGTACACGTGCTCGGAGGTCCTACCGGCTCGGCGGCGTCACCGCGGAGATGGTGGGGAGGACCGGCTTCATTAGGGCCGAGAGGCGCGGAAAACTTTGAAGCTGGTCATTAGCGCGCCAAAGAAATAAAGAGAAAGGAGGTGCTGGAGGGTCTCGACCATGATCCCTGTGGCCAGGCCCCCCCTTACGGAGACTCTCCACCCCAGCTTCCTGTAGACAGTGGTTGAGGGCCTTTTCCTGCAACGAGCGGAACTCACACCCCCATCGATGGCTTCTTTGATCGGAGACGATTGAGAGAACGAGGAAGATCTTCCTCCTGTCACGGATTCGGAGGTATCCAGGATACTCCGGGTTGAATAGCCGGATTTATAGTCATTACCAGTTGCGTATGCCGTGTGTCAAAAGTAATGTCAATGCTTTAAAATAAATAAAAATAGAAAGAAACTCGTTTTTTGTCCGGGCTTTATTTTAATTTTAATTTAGTGATATTATGTTTATAAAAAAATATGTAAATTGCGTAAGTGTATAATTCAAGCGGTCTAGTAATATAAGAACTCGTATTAAATTAATGGGTTTCCGAATTTTAAATTAATATTAAAAGTCGTCTTTCGTGTAGTCAATGTCACATTCCGCAAAACGGTGTCACATGCCGCAAAACAGATATTTCCCAGTTAAGTGCTCTATCGTTTGGGAGCGCTCAAAGGATGGCAATGTTTTTTATCGAATAGGGGCACACGGTCCAGGACGGACAGAGACCTGATGTTAAGTGATTACCGCCGCCCATGAATACTTGAAACTCAGGAGTCACAAGCGCGTTGTTGGCCTTTGAGAAAGGAGAACGATTTTTCTTGAAGGATTAAGGTCGCATCGATCCAGAAATACTTGTTATTTGTTATTATAACTTGCGAGTGGGGCTCGTTGTCTAGTGAATAGTGAACCTGACTTGTATGCCGGAAGTCATGGGCTGATTCCCACTCAGGAAAAATAATTGTGTGATGAGCACGGTCATTTGTTCTGTGTCTGGGTGTAATTTATCTATAATATGTGTGTATTAGTATGTTTAACAGCAGTCTGGTTACAATAGCAAAGGCTCTGCCTAGTTTGGAATCAGACGGCCGTGTGTGAGATCATCATCAACAGCCTTTAATAGTCCACTGCTGGACATAGGCCTCTCCTTAGGAAGGAGGTTTTGGCCTACTATACCACGCTGGCCAGACGGGTTGGTATAGAGTTTGCCTTCTCTCTGCAGTGCTGTTGTCCTGCGTAATTTGCTCCCTTAGTCGGCTTTTATGACACCCACGGGATGAATAGGGGTGCTGACAGTCCGTATTTTAAATCCGTCACCACACGGCGCGTGTGATATATATTAATATGTGACATATATTAATATTATTGTGTGTGAGATGTGTGACATGTATTAATATTATAACTTGTTCCATAGTATGTTTGTGCGAGGCAAAAAGTGGCGGAATTGGAACAATGGTGGAAATTTGCGGCTGGTATTAGTCCGAACAATACCTCGGAATATTATGCACGAAATATAAGAAGGCAAACAAGCAAAAGAGCAAAAGGTTCGGTCAAAGAACTGAGGAACGATATGTTTTACTTATTTGCTTACAGCCTTACACGTAGGGAGTCATTGTTTTATTACTAATCACTCGGTACCCTGAGACGATCCGCTGTGGCACATTGTGATTACAAAAAAATAGAAAGAAACCATATTTAAAGCGTGGAGTATATCGTGTCAAAGTTTGAGGTCAATCGATGCAGAACTTTTTGAGTTCTTGAAGCGAATACAAATCAACTTAAATTTTTAATACGAGTATATGTTTATTTTACATATGTTTTAGCCAAAAACCAGTTTGTTTTATAATAATTTTGGCAATGGTACCATTAAATTACATGTATGGGTTTTTATATTTTACTTAGCAATACAACTTATTTTTATTTATCAGTTTATTAGTCGAGTGACAGATAATTAAAACTCATATTATATGACTCCAAACGAAATGAAGATCTTCACTTGCAGTGGAAACATCTCACATCAACAGCCTTTAATAGTCCACTGCTGGATATAGGCCTCTCCTTAGCAAAGAGGTTGCGCCCTTAGTCGGCTCTTACGACACCCACGGGAGGAATTGGGGTAGTGACATTCCGTATTCTTAATCCGTCACTACGCGGACTGGAAACATCTACATATACAAAAAAAAAATATAGTTTTAAAAAACTAAAAAACACGCTTTCTATAGAACAAACGAAAAAATAGAAAATAAATTTGAAAAAAAGCGTTGGGTGCCTGTTGTCAATAGTAAAAAGCACCAAACGCTTACTATTTTTTTTTTTTAATTAGTGTATTGTCATCGGTCCTCGATATATCTAAAAAGTTTGAACGAATTCTGACCGTTTAAAGTCAGTCAAAATCACGCCCAAAGGAGTCGGTTACAAGCCGATAGAAGTGAAAACTTGATAATTTCAAAATTTTTGATTGAACAAAACAGGTTTATTTTTTTGATAAGAAGAGTTCCGACATGAAAATATATCTTTGTTGTACGTATATACACAGTATAATTATATTTATATTATATACAAAGAGTCTTCTTCTTCTTCCAGTATCTGGAAATTTCTTGGTACATTAGGTATTGGCAAACGGCAACATCCCGAGTTCAAAAATACTATTGGTGTGAATGATATCAACCGCCATTTCTCATCTGCAACTACGCTGGATCTTCAAACTAAGTGTCAAACCCTGAACTATATATCTGGCCTAAACAGTCTCAGTACTGACTCATTTGAATTTTCTCCGGTGCCTCCTGAGGATATCAAAAAGATTATCCTATCTATCCGCTCTAATGCTGTAGGGTATGATGGTATTAGCCGTCGCATGGTTACGAGGTTACGAGGACATGTTAAGAGGATATGTCTTCTTAGCAATCATTCATATAATTAACTTCTCCCTCGATTCTGGAACTTTCCCCTCTCATTGGCGTAAGGCTTACATCATCCCACTCCCAAAAAAAGTAATCCTTCACTTTCTGAACATTTTAGACCTATTTATATTCCTCCCCTACTATCTAAAGTGCTCGAGGCCTGTGTATTCAAGCAGCTTTCAGAATTTGTATACCGAAATAAACTGGTAAGTCCTCTACAGTCCGGCTTCAGGCCCGGTTACAGCACTGTTCATCAACAGCCTTTACTAGTCCACTGCTGGACATAGGCCTTTCCTTAGAAAGGAGGTTTTGGCCTACTACACCACGCTGGCCAGACGGGTTGGTATAGGGTTTGTGTCAAGTTTTCCTTCTCTCTGCA